GGGAACTAGACTGACATGTTTCTGTGCATTTTTAAAATGACATTTAAAAGGAGGCTTTTTCTCTAGATGAATAGCGTTTACTCCATCTCATTGACGGTAAGTATTAAAAGAACAAGTCCTCGTCTGGGGGGAATGTAGGTACTTTTGGTGGTAGAACTTGCTACCACTGTACTCCCAAAGTTTATTTTGGAGAAAAAAAAAACAAAACACAAGCTAAAGTCGGCAATAATTTTTTTAAAAGGATCACAGAAGATTCTCCCTACCAGATATAAAAATATATGTCATTGCTCTGGGGTAATTTAAAGAGTGTGGCACAAGACAGAAATAGCCTGACAGATGTGAAAATCAGAATAGAGAGCCCTAGACTTCTGAAGAAAGAAGCAACCTGAGCACATGCCTCTGACTCCCATTGCTGACCGTGGTCAAGAGTACAAAGACGGATGACAGTTTCCTTTGGTTCTAGGCACTAAGAAAGACTGACACCCAAAGCCAGGCCAGAAGAGAGGTAGTTGCTGTTAATAAAACATCAGGACCACATGGGAGTAATTAAGAACTTCATTTCCTTTGTCTCTCAAAGTGGAGAGGAAGCTCCATGAGTACCTGTCACCTGTAGGTGGTTAGAACTGGAAGTAGGAAGACAGCGTGGGCCAGAAAGTAACCCATGCTCTAAGTATTTTTAGCTACAGTGGATCAGTGGAGGTTTGCCAGGACCTCTGTGGACACAAATGGCTTCAACAAGCTGAAATTAGAGAGGGAACACAAAAAGCTGTCCAGGAAGTGGGCCGAGTAGTAGCCACGCTCAGAGGGAAAGGCAGCCTCACCAGGCATGAGGTTGGTGGGAGCAGACCTTCTCTCCCTGAAGCGTCAGGGCTTCCACATGCGGTGAAAGGCAGCTACGGATAGGGATGCCATCATTCGGGCCTGACCTCCAGCCTCAGAGCTGTGCCAAACCTGGAGAAGAAGCCACCCAGGGACAAACGCCACTGCTAAGCTCACCCTGGCCCTGGCTCGCTGGCCATACCCTTTCTATAAAATTCCGAGTCAGCAGTCAGGCCACCTCAGAGAGAGGGATGACAGCAGCTTCCCTGTGATGAGGCAACAAGGCCAGGGAAATGAGCAACTCAGCCGCACTCGTGATGGACAGGAAATCAGAACACGCTGGCAGGAGAGCGATCTGTCTGGTGTGCTGAACCTTTCTAACTTGGCATTTTGATTCTGGACCCACACCTAGAAGTATCTTAAATGTCAAAGATGTGACAAAACATTAACTACGTTTTTTGAGGAATCTCCACACTGATTTCCACAGTGGTTGCACCAGTCTGCACTCCCACCTACAGTGGAGAAGTGTTCCTTTTTCCCCGACAGCCCCTCTGGTATTTGTTATTGGTTGATTTCTTCATGATGACCATTCTTTCTGGGATGAGATGGAAGCTTAGTGTTTTCTAATTTGCATTTCTCGAATGACCAGTGATGTTGAACATTTTTTCATATATTATCCTGTTTGAAACTCTGTACCATTGTTTTTATTGTATTTTCTCTTTAAAATAAAAAAAAAATAACTGCAAAGAATGTCTACTGCCATTTTAATGATAAAAACTGAGAAACCATCTCAATATGGAAAGAGGACCACTTGGTTCAATAACTTAGAGAATTACCAGAAAGCAACCAAGAGCATTAAATGGCCTGGGGATACATCTGTGATGTGCCACAAATAAAAAGCAGGTGATGAAGGAGAACTTATGATGCTTATAATATTGATTCCATGTGAACCTATAGAAAAAAATGCAACTTTATGAGTCAAATATTAACAAGAGATGTCTCTAGTTCAGAAATAGATGCCTCTGGTTCTCAATTTGTTTGCACTGCTATAATAAGATCCCATAAACTGGGTACCTATAAGCCACAAAAAATACTTATTTTTCACAGTTTGGGAGGCTGGAGGACCCAAGATCAAAGTGCAAACGGACTCAGTGTCTGATGAGGGTCCTTTTCTTAGTCAATGGAAAATGACTTCTCACTGTTTCACAAAGTAAAGGCCACAAGGCAGATCTTAGGCCTCTTTTGTAATGACATCAATCCCATTCATGAGAGTCCCACCCATGTGACATAAACACCTCCCAAGAGATCCCAACCCCTAATACCGTCACCTTGCAGGTTAGGATTTCAACATAAGAATTTCGGAAGGGGAGAGGCACAAAAATCCACACATAGTAGATAAATGGTTTTATTCCTAGAAGTTTTTCTGTGTTTTTCCGTGTCTGCTTTCCTGTATCCTTTTGTGCTACATTCTAAGAGAATATTTCACCTCAGATGTCTAGCTTACAGATTCATTTTTAGTAATACTCATTTTACCACTATTTGAGTTCATTTTAAAGAACTAAAAAATTTACTATGAGTTTTAGGGTTTCCTTTTAGTTTATTTTTAAAATTGTGGTTTATCAATCTGTAATGCATAATAAAATGTTCATGATGCTAACTTACCATCTTCACCATTTTAAGCATACAGCTCAGTGGCATTAAATGCCTTCAGATTGTTGCCAACCATCACCACCTTCCATCTCTGAAACTCTTTTAATCTTGCAAAACTGAAACTCTGTATCCATTAAATAATAACACCACATGTCCCTTGATCCCACCCATGGCAACTAACATTCTAGTTTTTGTCTTTCCAAATTTACCACTCTAGCTACAGTATTTGATCTTTTGTGCATGACTGATTTTACTTAGGGTAATGTCTATAAGGTTTATCCATGTTGTATCACATGTCGGAATGTCCTTCCTTTTAAGGGTGAGTAATGTTCCATTGTATTGCTATATCACATCCATTCATTCATTCCACTGATTAATCATTCATCTATTGATAGAGATGGCATTGACTCCACTTTTTGGCTATTGTAAAAAAAGGCTGCTGTGACATGGGCATAAGTGTATCTCTTAAATCTCTGCTTTCAGTTCTTCTGAGCACCTGGTTAGCTTTTTATTTGTTTGTTTTGTTTGTGCCTTCCCTAATTAGAATGGATCACAGCCACCTAGGTCTTTGAGTAGAGACTAATTTTGGATTGTGTCCTGGACACTGTAGTGAGTCTTATGTTATATAGTACTGTATTCTGTTATTATTCAAGTAGATCCAAATTTTGAGCTGTCTTTTGTCTATGTGTACAGAGATTCAAATCTCAGTTTAGTTTCAAGTGTGCTGTGCTGCTTTGGGCCTGTTTCACAGAAACATTAGTAAGGACTCAATGTGAACCTTGCAGGCTTCAGACACAGAATTAGGGAATCTGACTCGTTCCAGCACTCTCTTTTGCTTGATTTCCCTGTCACTCTGTGGCAGCCAGCCATGGTTATCTGGCCCCTTTCCCTTGATTCTTCTGGCTGTTTTGTTTTGGTTTTGGAGTTCCAGTTGCCTATGACCGGCCACTCCATGACTACAGGCCACCTTCAGTGTGAACTTCCCCCAGCGGGAAGCTCAGCTCCAGCTCAAGTCATTTTTTCAAGTTTTGGTTCCTCTCTGCAATCTGCCTGACTTTGTTTGCTATTTAGAATCCTCAGATAGTATTTTCTTTATGGTTTACTCAGTTTACAGTTTTAACCAGGAGAGTTGATCTGAAGGTAAACTTTTTAAAAAATCTCATTTCCCCACAATTTAAAATAATTCAGTCCATTTGTTGTCCTGTCCTTACATGGAGTCTTTCGGGGCTTATTAGATGAAGCACAATCTAGCAACCAAAATTAGTTAAAAGCAATTCAAACAATATTGGTCTCTCTCAAAATGTTGATAAGAATCCAATTCAAAAATACACAGCAACACTTTTTAAAGTTATCTTCCTCCATTACCTTAACTTTGATTTTATCTTATGACTGCATTGCTTTGAAGCCTCACTCTAAAATACTAAATAAACTTGAAACTTGGGCCACATAGCCTTTTCGCTTTTTCCTCTTTGTCCTATTCCAATTTCTCTTTTATAGGAACAGTTCGTGGTCTCCCTTTTCACTGTACAACAATTGAGCTGATTCTTTTCTTTGCAAACTTTTGTTCCCATCACTCTTCTTGTGAGCAATTTAAACCCAGAAACCAAGCTGGCAAACTCAGAATATTCCTGAGAAGATGATATATCCTGAGGAGGGAGGCTCACTGTTCAAAGACAAGCATGTGTTTGGGAGAGAGGGAATATGTTTGAGAGTGAGAAGAGAAAATTATAAAAACCATGCTCATAACTTAGTAATTCTCTATTAAGCATTTACTATTTAAATGTATATGAAATAATCTATTTGTGCTATAGATACATAATATATGTTATTAATTTTGGATAATTTATAATGTCTTATTTTTCTAATCAAGGCATAACTTCCGTAGTCCTGTGTAAATTTCCAAAAGAATTCATGTTCTCATAACGCTGTCATTATTGATGATATTATGTGTGCCAGGCATGCTGCTAAGTGATGTGCGTGTACTTGTTTTATCAGACCTTATGGCAACACTGGAAAGCTGGCTTTGTTTCTATTTACAGATAAAGGAACTGAGCATCAGAAAGGTTCAGTCAGGGTTACACACCTATGAAGTGTAAAAGACAGGATTTGAAGCTATATAGAAACCCCAAAGCCCATTCTTTCCTTACTGTCTCCCGTTTTAAAATCACAGACTGCCACCCAAGCCTAATTTCATAATTTTATCTTGCAAAGAATATAAGGAGAGGGAGGGAGAGAGAGAGAGAGAGGGAGAGAGAGAGAGAGAGAGAGAGAGAGAGAGAGAGAGAATGGGAGAGATCCTGTAAAAATAATATTAACTTCACAGCGGAGTGTGGTATTTTAGTCCCAGTTTGTTAGTGCGTGCTGCAAACCTATCAGCCCCTCAGTTTCTCTTATTCTTCTCTGTCCGCATCTATAACACTTGAGAATAATTTTCAGAACTGTTCTAGAAATAAAATGAGAAGTATTATGCAAATATAAGTGATTATAATCAATTTTAGCCCAACTCACAAACTAACACTTTCTTTTCTAAGTTTTACAGTTACGACTTCAACGGAGAAGGACCCAGGAGCAACTGGCTAACCAAGGCTTAATACCACGTGAGTACCTGCGGCTCTTACTCACTAAGAGATTTCCAAGGACATGTAGTGTGGGAACTGGGAAGTACCTCAGAGGTCAGTTAGTCTAAGCCAATGTACATATCTTGCAAGAGACCTACAGAGTCTGCGTCAGTAGAAACCCATTCCTTGGATGCTTTGCCCCCTGCTGGCACACACTTGCAAACTGCTTCCCTTTAATCAAATGGGTAGTGTCTAAAATTCCAGTATGACAAGTCCGTTCTTAGGGTAAACACATCTCGCTATGGACATCACTCACTCTTTGCTTTTTTGGGGGCGGGGGCGGGGTACTGGGAGTCGAACTCAGGACCTTGCACCTGCCAGGCAGGTGCTGTGCCACTGAGCTATATCCCCAGTCCAGCTTAACTTCTAAAATTGGGCATAATTACTATTTTTTTCAGAAGCATCAATCACATAATCTTTTTTCTCACCTTCCTGGTTACAGTTCTGTTTTGGGGAGTTTGATTCTGCAATGAATTGGAGGTTGTCATGTGTTTGTCTTCTAGAATTTTGAGTAGTAATACCATTCTGGCTCAAATTATATAATATTGAATTACTGGCCATAATCTGTATCAAAGAAGAAACATTATCATATCTTTCAGAACATGTATTTGAAATTTTCTAGCAATTAAGGCTAACTTACGGTTATCTATATCAACAGGGAAAAGAGTCCCTCAGTGAATGGAATCATGGTTTAAGCTGCTGTACATCATACTAACTTTCTCCCAATAAAATTTTTTAAGTCAGTATTCATAATGAGACTTGTACAAATTTGAGTCCCTGTACAATACTATCATGACTATTATTTCGACGTTTATTGTGCAACCAGCAGAAGTTTGCCCTTGCAGACGTCCTGCGGTTAGTGATGTTTAAGTCCTACGATCCATGGTTTGCAAACTGTAAATTTATTCTGTGCTTCAGAAGCAGAACAGAACTAAGAAGTTTTAAAGCCTTTTGTAAGTCAAAAGTAACTCTTTGTTAATGGTTAACACCTACAAACAGTAAATAACTTTAAAGCACAACAATTTTTTTATTTTAAAGAAAATAAGAAAAAAGAACTATAGCAAAATACCAACAACACAGACAAAAACAAAACAAAGCAAAAACAATAAAAATGATACAGGGTCTCAGAATAAAATAACAGGAATTAACAGTGGCTGTTATATTATATGTTACTATCTTCAAAAAAGTTGCTCAGATTACCAGATGTAAGAGTGCAAGATTGAGCAAACCATTAAAGAGAACAAAGAATAAAATAAAAAAAATTAGAAACAATACAGAGTTTCACTAGACAAGATGGTAGGAATTCACCAATGGTTGAAATTTGAAGACAACGATATGCAATATAACAAGCACAACAATTTTTGTAGAGGTTTGCTAAGAACAAAAGAAACAAAAGAAATCTGAAATTCCAAGACTATTTTTGAGCAGCATTTACAAGTACATGAAAAACCAAAGAAGCCAGTCAATGTGAGGTCTATTCCATGTAAGCCATCCAATAGAGTTGCTAAAGAAATGGGGAACCAAAGATCAGCAGACATCAGGTCAGGCCAAGGCGCTTCAACTCAAATCTGATAATCTATGCCAGCACCCAAGTTTCTTTCTCCTTAATTCTGGAAAAATAAGTGCAGCACATAGACCCAGGCCCTCTTGGTTCACATCACTTCATGATTGACTCAGTGTTCACTATGCTGGAATACTCTGGGCCTGGTTCTTGCAGCCTGCATTGAATGAGAATAAACTTTTTTTTAGGAATTTGGGGTTCAATTTGGCAATCAGTAAAAACAACCAATAAAGACAGAGAATAACTCTACGGTGCATTTTTAAATACACCACTCATGTCAGCTATGTAAATCAAGCATCTGTTTGTACAGTAGAATCCAATGGAGACAGGAAATTTTGTTCTCCAGGATTTCCAAAATCAAACTGCATAGATACAACAAAATATTGCTTGGCAGAAAATTTGTATCCACAGTCCATTGCAACATTTAGATAATTTCTGAGGATAAAAAAATCCTGCAAATAATTAAATAATTTTTATAAGTCAGCCAAATGGCGAAAGAACTCAAATGGCAAAGGCAGAGTGATCAAAAATATGGCATGTGTTTAAATAAAAACATTTATTGTGGTAAGAAACACATTGTCATTATTCCCCCTCCAAATATGCTCCCCCCCCGCCGCCTTTAACATACATCCCATCACTGTTGTCATTTTGTGAGACAGTTCTGGAAGCCATCTTGCATTTCTTTAGTTCTGCTGCTATGGCTGCCATGATGTCCTGAGTCAATTTACCTCTCATGGTCATTTTGACCTTGAGGAAGAGCCCAAAGTAGCCCCAGGTCAGATCTAAATAAAGCAGATGACCACAATATTGTTATGAGCCTGCCTTTCTGTTGGATGGTACTCACAGCAGTAATCACTGTATTTTTGATTAGGCCATAAAGACACTCACAGAACAGAACTTCCAAAACTGCTTCAGGAAGTAGAACTTCAAAGCAAGGAGAAATATTTTGAGAGAAGCTAATGGCAATGTGTCTTTTACTGTAATACTTTTTATTTAGACATTCATGTTATATTTCAGTATCCTTTATATACGCATCACCTCTTACACACACACACACACACACACACACACACACACACACACGGACAGTGTTTAGGGACTTTGTCTCACTTTCTGAGCCTCTCCTTTTTGCCTTCCAGAAGATCCCCCAAGAATCCTCATTAGAGTGCTGGTCCTCTTCAGAATGAAAAAGAAAAACCCCCGAGCTAATGAAATCTTCATTTGTCTTTGAAGTTCATGAAACTGAGGTGGAGGAGGCGTAAGAGAGTGTTCAAATGTCCCAGTGCCAGGTCCAATGTGTCCCATTTTCTGCAGCTTTAATTTAGGATAATGTAACTGCCTGCAGCATGAGATTATTCATAGTGTCCCGCTACCCATGGAATTTGAAAAAATTGCAATCTTTCCAAAATTTAAACACTTTTCATAATTTGCCTGAATTCAAAACTGTCATCCCCGTGAACTTACCGTTCTTAGGTTATTATAGCAGAGCTATTTTTAGGACAGTCCACAGCAACACCTGCCATCCTTTGAGAGAATTAGTCTTGACTTTTACATCAGTGTAAGCCTTTGGATCTTGTCAAATACTGCAAAAAACCCGAATCTCTCTCCTGTTGTTGCAGAGCTGAGGCCAAATCTGAGCCTCCTGATCCTCAGCAGGCTCCTCTTCTCAAATGTTCAAAAGGAATCACTGGACCATTAGAACATTGTTGTGATCGAAACTTCAGTTGGAATTTGAAAAGTTTAAAGAAAAATAAAGTGTGAAAATGCCAAGGATAAACCAATGGTTTTAATGAAATGAACTTCAAGTTCAGCATCATAATCTGTTGTACTATGGCCGACATTGAATGAAAAAGTCCACTGAATTAGGTCCATAACAGATCTCACTTGAGTTGCACTCGAAGTTGATGATAAAGTTGTAGGGTTCCTCCCCCACCTACTCTGAGGAGCTGAAACCTGTGTGCTTTCAGTTGGCCACTGCAACTAACCCGGCGGGGTTCATTTTACCCGCTTCCTCCCTCCTGGATGTGGGCCCTGAAAGATTCAAGGTTGCTGCCCAGTACCAGAGTCCACAGATGCCAGGGATAAATTCCTGTTTACACCACAATTCCCATCACTACTTTCACACCTTCACGTTGCTCTCATTGATGATATTTTAATAATAGTGAGCTCATAGTTTAGGGTATTTTTCTCTCCTTCCATTTCATGCCATGAATTGAAAAGCATCATTTCTTCACTAAAAGTGAAGAGTAGGGAATCTAAGGCCCTGAAAAGCCCCTAAAAGAATTTTAAATGGTGAGAAAACATTCTTGAGCCTTGAGTAGGGCCCCAAGCCACATCCTAAGACTGCCTTCACATTCGTATCAGTTGTGAAATTCACAGGTTTTGGGGGGATTTTTTTGTTTTTTGGTTTTTTTTTGGTACTGGGAATCGAACTCAGGACCTTGCGCTTGCTGGGCAAGTGCTGGGCTGCTGAGCTATATCCCCAGCCCCAAAATTCACATTTTAAAAACATGAAATACTTATTTCTTGGTAAAATATTATCTCATGGTTAACTTAGAAATATTACTTTAAGGATTTATTGTTTGGACTTACCTCCAAAGACCCACCTCTGTATTTCAGGATGGAGAGTTTAAGTTGCCCAGTTTTGCCACCAAAACCAAGATTCAAAGGGCCTGGCTCCACTGTCCTTCCCTTCTCGATTCCAGGCACAGTACTTTCCCTGGCTTTAGGACGAAGCCAACTTCCGCCCCTCATAGATCTCTGGGGGCCTGGACATGCTTATCCCTGTTTCATACATATTTTCTTCCCCACAGTTCTTTCCTTGGGGCATCGTTCTCCTAGGTAGCATCTTTCAAATGACACCATTTGATTCTACCCACTGCCAGAGCCTGAGTGTAGAAGGAAAAGGAGCGATGTGAATTGCACTGAATAAAATGGTCATAGAGTAATTCAGTGAATATTTATTGAGCATCTGCTATGAGAAAGTCTCTGGGGCAGACACAGAGGACACAAATATGATTTCTGTGTCTAAGATCTTACAGTCTATAAGAGACCCCAAATTACCCCCAGTTAATCGCTTCTGTTAACAATTTCAGACAGCTTTACCCCTACATGGGAATGGGTATTGGAAGGATTGAAAGAGAAAAACCATGATTTTTCCTCTCTGCTATTAAAGAGAATCTAAAGGGGTTGAAGGCAGGGAAGCAGGCGAGAAATCTTACCTCCTTCTGGAATACAGAAGAGGAGAGCAGGAGAACTAGAAAGGGGTTTTAGAAGACTTACAGAGCAAACAGGCTGCTACTTCTTGACAGTCTCGGAGCTAGGCACTACTGGCCAGAATGGGGTGTCTGGACAGAATGGCTCCATAATCTGATCAGTGTAAAAGAATTTGAAGCTACAATGAGTTGTGTATGAATGGTGCTGCCTTTATTTTTTTTGCAGAATAATTCAAGCTACCGCAGCCACATACTTACTGCAAAGCCTTGGTAAATCCCTGAATTCTGTGATACTCCTGGATAGCAAGAAGAATGACTTGGGCAATTCCTGCACCCACACCCCATGCAGCTTCACCATAGTTTTGAGAAGTTGACTGGACAAAGTCTGTCTTCCTTTCTCAGAGCATTCATTTGACTTGGCTTCTTCCCACAGCACCTTCCACACACTGTTGGCTGTCTGAGCAGAACACGGCACGATGGGGTTGATCTATCTGCCTCTTCCTTCTTTCTAACATCTCAACTTCAGAGATAGGAAAAGGTGTCTTGGATGTTTACACCAAGTGCATTCGGATCAACAATCCTAACTTTCTTCATTTCCTTCATCGCTGGTTCAATTTTCCATTTCCCTGTCCCTTTGAAACTAGAAAACCAATAATTATAGACACACTTTGAATTTGTCTTTGTTTCCTGTTTCAGAGAAATTCCAATATTCAGTTCAGGGAATTTACATATGTTGCATCAAATTCTGCAAGTGTGAAAGCTGGGTCCTGAATATTACAAAGCTACACTGGAGAAAGAGTCACAGTTTTCAGATCCCTACGATTACCTTTTGGGTATGGAATAAGCTATTCATTACCAGTGTAAATGGAGAATATAACTTCATATAGCACAGGTCCTGATCTCAGAAGAAACTTGCCCATGACTCCATCTGTCCTTACACAGAGGTGGAGAACCCATTTTGTAAGTGGGAAACTGAGAGCCCAGGAAGCCTGTTGTGCTAGCTCAGGATCATACCTAAAACAGACGACAAAATGCAGACAGGGCTCAGATAAACGGCTCTCAAGCTTTCATTCACCCAGGACTTCCCTGCTTACATCCATTACTGCTGCAGGTCTTAGATGGGAAAGTTTTGTCTTTTATCCCACAGAATACTACCCACCTTAATTATTAATCCACATTTCTGTTTTTAATTAATTAATGCCATATAAAGTTAACAGCCAGTGCTTTTTTATGATAATACCCATTTCTAGCCTACATTGCTATGATTCTAGACAGCAGCAATGAAACATGAAAGTTGCATTAGCCCAGGCATCCTCTCTCTGGGCAGACGTATCTTTATCTTCATGTTTTTAAAATGCTGAAAATCAATCCTAGCAATCCATTGCTCCCTTTTTAAACTTGCAGATTCCCAAGGATCCCAGATCAGGACCCACTGGCCTTATAAACTTCATAACAGAGTTTCTTAAAGTTGTGCATCAAAATCAGCTAGAGAGCTTGGTCAAACACAGAGAGATCTGTGTCTCGTCCCCATAGGTTTGATGCTATAGCTCTGGAGTGAGAGGTTAAGAATTAGAATTTCTAGCACATTCCCAATTGATCTTGAGCAGGCTGGTCCAGGGACCATATTTTGAGAATCATGGGTCTGATCATTGCCTCAGGTCTCTGGCTCCTTGAATCGCTTCTTGGTCTTTATCTTCAGTGCCAGTGGGGCTAGGTTACCACTGAACATATGCTAGTGAGGGGTCCCTAGGAAGAAATCACACCTGGCAACAGCCTTGCTTTAGCTGTCTGAGCCTGCCCAACCCCAGCTCCTAGCCCTGTGTGTAAGGATCAGGCGTCCTCCCTAAATGGGTTCTTAGCAGCCCCGTGGCCTATTTTCCCCATTTTCTAGGATCTTCCCAGAGCCCTGAGGTTTGACTAGGGGGAGGAGCACCACAGAGCCCCGTTCTTATCTCAGGATCGTTTTCTGAACTCTAAGTAAGCAAATGTGTATACACACAGCTGACCTAAATTAGTAGAGCTGTGGGGACAGAAATAGGAATAGCCAGCAACTAAACTCTGAGGCGAGAACATGAATTCCCCTGTGAGGAGCGATTAATCTTCCTCTAGAGGGAACGAGTCAAATGAGTGGCCGACTGGATTTATAACCATATTTTAATTTGAAATCACATGGACTTATTTTTTTAATTTAGAAACTCAAATTCCTTTTCAATCTTAAATGTCAATGTCCTTTAAATACAAAATTTTGCCATTTGATACTCCCCAGGCTGGCAAGCACAAGTGGTCCTTTGTGTATTTTCCAAAAACTCAACTGGGGATGGGGACTATTATGATTGCTGCAGGCCCTCAGGGAAGATGGCTAAAACCCATGTTCTCTGCAGTCCAGGAAAAGGCAAACCTTGACCCTAGGGCATTGCAGGGGAGTTTTCCATTGTATGACCTCAAGCCAGTATCCCACATAACCCCATTAAGCCCTAAGGAGAAAAGCATGTGGCAAAAGCAGTGTGTAGACCTCTTTGGTATTCCTTCCAAGACCTTATTAAGTGGGGGCAGAGCTTCCCACCCTTGAGTAGAAGATTCTAGAAGACTTTTGAGCCCTGGGCATCAGAGAACCAGACCATGAGAATCATTGCATAAAGTAGTTTTTAACATACAGAAGTGATGAGTTATAGCTGTATGAAGCTAAGATATAGAAAATACAGTGTTTCTTAGGACAATTAACAAGCTCCACCAACAAGCAATTAAGATCTTCAGGGAGGAAAGACTCAGATAAGTCCCTCTCAAGTTCCAAGCCTAATTAAATCCAATCATGTTTGGAATGTGTGAGATATCTCAAGATATATTCATACTGCTCCCCTTGGGTAACTTGTGAAGTAAAAGAATGTGTTATTCTTTTTAACCACTTAATACAGACCCCATTTCTACGGTCAGTTCTTTTTCTGAATGATGTAAGTAATTAAACCATACCAGTAAGTAATACTCAATGGAATGATCCCTAGGTGATGGGACAGAGGTGAGCCCTGATGGTTTAGATTACGAAGGTTCACCAGGGGCCGCTGTTCTCTGAGCAGACTTTGTGATCTGGTTGCTGGGGGAAAGGAAACCACTCTTGAGACACTTTCACTACAAACTCCAACTGTGATCAAATGCAGAAAAAGTCAAGTGTGCTTCCCAAGGAGGGTGTCCAGACCCAAATCAAAGCAAATGCATGAGCCACACAGCAGCACATTTATTTTCCAGAGTCACTGAGTGGGAAGAAATGGGAAGAAAGGGGCCATCTCCAGTTATAGGTATGAAAAAGAGACCTGTGTTAAGAATAAAAGCAGCAAAGAGAAGCTGAAGAATCAGCTTCAAGATCAGTGAGAAATGTGATGCATAAGCAAAAAAAAGTATTTTTGCAATAAAAATTAGACCTCTCAACCTCCAGCCCTAGTGAAGAGAAGGGAAGGTATTAACTACATTGGGCCCTAGGCCACTGGGATGGTCTCTTTGGTCAAAATTGCTACTGAGACAGGGAAATTGATGGAGAGCTTGTCTTAGTAACTTTCCAAGCAGCGTCCTACATAGAAGAAAATAGGTTAAGCACCATTATGGTGTCCACCATTATTATAGCTCGATGCCAGCTATCCCTGTTGAAAACTGTGCTAGCATTTAGCACTCATGGTCTTCAGACCTGAATGAGGCCTATACGCATATACATGGTCCCAATGCTGATCTAGCAAAAAAACTAATTCTTATGCCAGCCAAGACTTGGAAGAATGCTTCATAGCCTGCAATTCAAGAGGGAACATCTGTTAGAGTGGTTGTAGAACTCTGGATCATGTGATTCGTCAATTTGTCTGGACTTAAAATTCAAGAGAAAACGATGCAATTCTGTAACCTCTGACCCACCTCATCATGCAATTCTGTAACCTCTGACCCACCTAATGAAAAGTGATTATTTATGGCTTCTGATTGAGATTTTTCCAGGGGACAAGGCAAATCAACACAAAATGTAGAATTTTGCTGGATGTTCTATTTTGCTACATCGAAAGAGTTTACTGAATCATCATGAAGAGGCACTGCAGATGAGTAATGGGGAGGAGACACAGGAAAGCGTGGAGGTATTTTATGCTGGTGGTTTACAACTACTACACATTGCACATGACCAACCAATGCTATGTCGGCTGATTGTTAGGAGTCTGAATAGCACACTTAGAAAGAGGTTAGGGTTATCAGAGGACCTAGGCTCCAAGCCCTAACTGTGTGACTCTGGGCAAGCTAATCCATTTGTATAGACCTCAGTTTCCCGATTTCATTCAGGACTGGACTTCCCAGTCTCCAAGGTTCCTTCCAGCCCTCAAAGTCTAATGATCTGCTTCTCACTAAACACCCTGGTTTGCATGTTCATGACCATCCAACCACATCCTTTACCCAAAGTGAAGTCCCTTCCTACAATACACCCCTACCCAAAGCACCCAGGTTTGAGCTCAAAGGCAGAGCAAAGTTGCAGAGGGTGTTAGTTCCCCATCTACCTGCTCTCTTAAGTCATGTTACTTCTGACCCCTCTCTTTCTTCAGGAACTTGGAATGCCCTTGCCTCCACCACTGCTCTTCCTGTCACGCATTCTGCCTCTGCTGCTCCTCTTGGTTGAGGACTGAATTCCACCTTCTTCTGTCTCTTGTGGCTTTCAGGCAGCTGGCGTCCCCAGGCCTTTCCTCTTTCATTGCTTGTGGCCCGGTAATGGCAATCACTTCCAGACTGCGCATAGCTCGGCCAACACAGCAGCCAGCCCTGCAACACCGACCAGCCCCTGAGCCAGCCTCTGCTCATGTCTTTGTCTTTCTGTTTCAGCACTGAAAACTCCAACTGCATTCCATGAGCAAAGAAAAAATTTGGATAGTAGCAAGGTAATTTCTGCAAATTGCCTTTCCTGAACTTGGACTATAGGTTCTAGATCTCTGGATGATAAACCCTGGCTAATGCATGTAGAATTTCTTCAACCAGCTCCATCAATTGGACATTTGCCTGCCTCCACACCATGTGGAACCTCACTGTTCTACACTAATGATGGTGGAAATGGGATCCTCTAAGTGAGCTTTGAACCTGCCGGCATTGTAGCATTTAAACAAAATGTCCTCGATCTTTTTGGTTTTGGGGAAAATCACAGAAAGAATGTGCTAAGGATCAAAAAGACTTTAAGAAGGAAGTGGGACTGGTTTGCAAGCTGCCTTACCTTTTATTGCAGTATTTTCTTAGCAACAATCAGATTTTCTTAAATGCAATTCAATGGCAAGACTAGGTCTGTGGTTACAGAGCTTACCTGCAGCTGCTTAAAGGCAAAGGGAATAATGTTCATTTACCATTCTAGGGAAAATTAATGTATTCTGCTCCTTCATAACAAATCTCTGCAATCTGAATTGACCAATAGTGTAAATACCAGTTAGCAGCACTGGCACTTTGGGTGAGAAGGGAAGGACTGGGGCGTGTGTGTCTCTGCCTGAATGTGCTAGCCTTACTGCTTATCTCTGGGGACACAGGAAAAGCAGCACTCTGCAGCCCTTCAAAGTTGCTAGTGAGTGCCTGTTATTCCTACTACCTGGAAAATAACAAACAACAGCTGACTTTTTATCAGAATTGGAGAGAACCCTAGGCCTTTTTCAGGGGCCCAAAATAGTAAGATAAAAGCCTATTAGTAGAAATCAGGAGTCTGGATTGGCCCTCTGACAGCCTAGTGGTGGTGAACCAATGGCACGTGTGCCAAAGTAGGCTGTTTGTTATCACTGAAAACTCTAACAGGTTCGCCATCACTGAGTAGCTCCCCATCAAGATTATGAGATACAGTAAATGATCTCCTTCTAAATGCCTTCGAAAGTCTCAATCTGCATGCCTTGTATTTTCCCATGTCCTAAGAGAGAAGCCAGATGAATCATGGAGAAGGCTGAAAGTGGTCTTGTCGTAGCAGATGTTTTCATGTCTCTAACCTTGATTAATTTTGTGACTGTTATAAGAGGCAATAGAATAGGACTGATTATAATACAAGCAATTTGGTATCATAACTGCTGTGTTAATATTTTATTAACATGTACCTGCTTGGCCCTTCAGGTTTTTTTAAGTTTTTAGTCCTGACATGGACCCAAACTTTTTACCTCTTTATTGTATTTTCCCACCCTAAAACTCCTGGAATGGCCATTGTGTTTCTTCATCAACACCTGGAAGATCAGGGATATTTCTATTTTCCATTTGTCATGAAAAGAGTAGTTTTTTTCCCTTTAAGAGAGACTGCATTTTCTTAAAGTTAAAACTAGACGGTTCTCCCTGTTTTTGTTCTGTAGACTGAAGATTCCCTTAGGCGAAAGGGCAGGAGCAAGTCTGACCGGGCTGACTTGGTTAATATGCACATACTCCAAGGTAAGTCTGCATGAAGTCACAAACTAGTAGAAGTCCATCAAATGGTGGACTATTTGTCCAGAGTTCTTTGTCTCTGTGCAGTTGTTAAACACTATTGAAACGTCTCTCTGGACATTACAGAGGCAGTTTCAAGCAGTCATCCAGCTATATTAAGCCATATTGAAAACACAGTCAGCTTTTAATGTGGGGTTCTAACCTCATCTGTGCCGCTTCCTGACTTTAAAGCCAGGGCAAGTCCCTAACCTCTCTGAGCACATGAGAAGTATGCACCATGCATTGGTAATTATTAACCTGGATCATCATTCAGTGTGGGATACAGTTGAGGCCCTCTATTTGCTTCCATAGCCATTAAAGCACGGCTTCATCTTGCTTTTCTGATGTCATTATATTCTGATGTGTGGGAAATAACAGCCCAGAAGATCAGCGCTAATTAGTACAGACCCACTTCCACCCAAAAGTGCTGGGGAGGGGAAACAGGACAAAAACCTAGTTGCCCCCAATATGCAGACCCCTGGGTAAAAGTAGGGAGACCTATTCTTTCGACAGTTGCCTTCCCTCGGGTGGGACTTCCACATACTACTGGTTCCCACTTCAAAGGGCTCTGTCTTCTACTTGAATGATTTAGCTATGGAATATTTATTCATTAAGCAAGTACTGCATTGGATGGCAGAGTTGGGGTGAGCTGATCTGCCAGACTTTGTGCATATGGGCACGAGTAAGCCACAGGCTCCCACTTTTAAAGGTTTTTCTCAGATAGTAAAGGAGGCAGACATGAGAGTCAGTATCATAAACCAGCATGAAAAGAGAGAAAGTCCTGTGTTATGGCTGCACAGAGCAGGGTGGATAGAGCCATCTGAATCAGAACTGATGGGGAAGGAGCAAAGAAATGAGCTGGAAGGCGAAGGCTGGACCACGAAGACAAAGAAGAAAAGAAGGGTTTTGCAGGCTGAGGGAACAGTGCACAGACGCCAGCACTTGTTCTCTAGAGTGCAGATTGCCCTACGCAACTGTTCACTCACTTTAGGTAGCACAAAAGATCCTGAAATAACGTGAAAGTTGTGAATCTTGGTTCTTTAATCACTGTTATTTGTAGTTCATCCAGTCTCCCAAGGCTGGCTTTTTTCCACCCCTAGGACATGTGGGATGTTATAAGATGGAGAACTGCTTTCAAGGCATGAAAGAGAGCAAGGACAAGGTGGTGCTGGAGGGAAAGGCTGTGTGAGCTTCAACACTTAGACTCGTGTGAGACAACCAAAAGATACCAAGGGCTGCTTGGAAGAGGTGACAGATTCTCACCTCCTCTATAAGAACATCACCGCAAAGACCATAGAAGCAGCTACTGGATCAACACAAAGTTGCAGCTGCACAAATAACCCAAAGAATGCTGTTTCAAATGAGATACAGACTTTTCAAGGATCAGCTTAACAAATAAAAATAAATATCATGCGTGGCAAGGATATGAGAAGTATACACATTCTTACACACAACTGGTAGGAGTATAATCAGGTCACCATTTCTAGAGTGCTCTTTGGCAATGTGCATCAAACTTCTAAAAAATGTATCCACCCTTTAGCTTGTGTTGTGATTTCTCATATTTTATTTAAAAAAAATAATCATACATGCAAAGATTTATGTACAATTATGTTTATCATGGAATTACTTTAGAAAATGAAACACTGAAAATGGTGAAATGTCCAACAGCAAGAGATTAGCTGAATAAATTGTGGATCATCGTGCAATTGAATACCACATAGCTGCTACAAGCAAGGGTTTCAAAGAATGGCGACTTAATAAGAAAAGGCTTATGAGATGTTTAGTGAAAAGAGCAGAGAAAATTATATTTATAGTCAAATTCTGGGAAGAAATATATATATAAAGATAAGACACATTTATAGACAGATTCTAGGAAGAAAAAAATGTAGACCTAATAATAAATACCATAACTAAGAAGGATGCCAAGTATTAAAAGTATTGACTATAAGTGGGGCATTTCCTGAGGCTTTCCTGTTCTTCTACATAGTTCTTTGGCATATTTCATACTTATGATAATGAGTAAGTAGTAATGCTATAATCAGAAAAAGCACATGAAATGTTATTTCTAAGGCTGGGAATGTGGCTCAGTGGCAGAGCACTTGCCTGGCATATTCAGAGCCCTGGTTCAATCTTCATACCATCAAAAAAGGTTATTTCTTATATCACTACAGTCTCTCATTAAAATATCAAGCTGTTTCTGGTTTTATGTGATCCTCTCTTCTGCCCAACAGAAATGGGGGATTAGCCCCACAGACATGCTAGATGTAAAATAACTCCCACCCTCTAGCAATTTATTGCCTAAATTTATAAGTGGCACAATAAGATAAAGTGCCCATGCTTAGAACTGTTAGAGGCAGTCAAACAAGCCAGGGATCTGTGAGACCAGAAAAAATTAGGAAGGCTTTGTGCTGTGTCCTAAAAAAGGCTTTGAGCTGTGTGTTCATGGTGGGGAATAGAGTAAGGAAGTAAAGCTACAAAGGTACAAAGGTGCGCTCAGTAAGACAGCAGGCTGGGGAGGCAGAAAGGACGAGATCAGGCTCATTGGGGTGGTGTGTTTGGTATGGAAACGCACCTGTCATGATAGAGGGTGACCAGTTTGCCTCAAGCTTAGATAGGGTGGACCATCTTGTAGGGGTGATACAAAATGAAGGGACCTTTTGAAGATTAGTGCTGGGCTGGTGTGCAGAATGGACAAGAAAACCCTGAGGTGGAGAGTCTAGCAAGGAGCCCTTGCAACGACCTCTTCGCATCCAACTTGTTGCAATTGATTAGCCATCCCCAGACTTCTCCCGTGTGTAGAATTCTAGATCAGCCACTAGACATGGGGCTGAGGCCATAGCTCAATGATAGAGTAACAGCGCTGGGAGGTTTGTCTCTGAATATAGATCATTTGCTAAACTCACAAAGTTGAAAACAAAGCTACAAACGGTTATAGGATCTTAGCTTACATTTTTCCATTGTAGCAAAAGTTAGTTGGATTCTTCCCCAAGTTCTTCCACAGAAATGGGTTAGGGCCTACACTAAAGAGGCAGTTTGGTGTCAGCCATATAAGGGTGGGTGTAGGGCTCTGTATATAATCTTTCTCACCCTTCAAGTGATTAGAAACACTTGTTGGATAAACTTAGTCCTTAAAAATCCTCTGTTCAATTAAATGACAGTTTTAAATGATTTTTTTCTTTTATAAACAACCTGAACATTTGACTCCTAGTCAGCATCACAGCATTGATAAGTCTAAAGGGTTTTACTTATCAATGCTGATAAGTAAAACCCTTAAAAAGTCACACTACTACTATCCATTCTAACCATAGACTATTTCCTGCCAGCTCAGCCTGGACCGTTCAGCATCCAAATCCCGCAGCATCGGGTTAGGCAAGTAATGTGGACCCCATGGAATGCCTGCTTGCAAAATCTCCAAATGCATTTTTTTTTTTTTTTCACAAATCCTCACAAAACAAGTTTCTCCAACTTTTCTTTGTGCCTCTCTATTTGCCTTTATTTGGAAGTATCTAGTCTTTGGTGTTAATCCTTGGGAAGTGATGATGATTCCATTGAAAAATTAATAGGATGTTAGGGCATGATGTGACACAGTGTTTTACAGCCACAAGCCAAAAAGAAAACCGAACAAAGACATCAAACTCTAAAACTGATCCTTTTCATTTCAACCATTCAGCCTCCACCACGGAGAGGTCCATTCCAACTGCTCAGATGAAGCTGAAAAGAGCCCGCCTTGCTGACGATCTCAATGAAAAGATTGCTCTCCGACCAGGGCCTCTGGAACTGGTGGAAAAGAACATCCTCCCTGTAGATTCTGCTGTGAAAGAAGCCATAAAAGGTAGAATACATGGAATGCCTGGCTCTGGTGCATGTGAGACCCAAGGGTAGTTGGAACTCCATAATGCTAAGTACTATAATAAGGGTGAGGGCCTCTGGACAGGAGCTGCGGCCTGGGTCACTCTCTCAGTGTGTCCCTTATTCCCTAAAGGGCCTACGGATGAGGAAGAAAGTCATCCAGGTGCAGTGAGAGGTCAAGTCAGCACAGGCCAATTTTGCACTTCTCAGGCAGGTTTGAGAACCTAGCTAGACATGATCCTCAGGGCATCTCCTCTACACATTCCCACCTCTTAGAAGTCACAGGCACAGCACCCTTCAGATTCCTTTTCTAAAGAAGGGAAACCACAACTGGACTCCTGGCCACTGTGTGCTGGGGCTCTCCCGAGCCACCTGGCCTGGCTGAGATGGAGGTGACAATACCTGCCCTACCCAGGCTCTTGGGAGGGGGCTGGTACTGCACAATGCATGTGAACACTCTTAATAACTTTCATGTGCTCTGTGAGGTCAAAGAACAAAAACTCAGGGAAGAGACATAAACATTAATTTTGTCATAAACTGCGTAAAGTCATTTTGTAGAGTCTTTTGAACACCTGACACCAAAAGAACCCAAATAGTCTGCAGGTGCTGCATTCATTTGTGGAGAGTTTTGGGTGGAACCGGGGGCAATGGTAATAGAAGGGAGAAAAGGGAGCTGGACATCCTTATAACTGACTTTCACCCTCTTAGGCCCACAAACGGCTCTGAGAATACTGATACATATTATTTAGCAATATGTTTTTAAATGCTTTGGCACATTGTCAAAACCTGTGTATAAGGGCATTTTATCCAAAACAAAGCTTATTATGAAATGTATCAAGGTTATCTACACTGTAAAATCTTGTTCTCACTCATCCATTTAGAAGCCATGGAAAATTTGCCCCAAGAACCTGGAATATGAAAATACCCAGTGCGGTAGTGCAACGTCACTCACCTTTCCTTACCCCACTAGAACCCCGTTGTGACCCTCTCTTTTCCTTACATTCCCTCCATGGGAGTAGCTTGTGCCTTTGAACTGAGCCTAGGGTGCACAACAGTGCACTGTCTTCCCATCATTGCTCTGATACAATGCCAGGCAGGAGAAAGTCTCCATCGGGCATCTCTTGAAGCATCGTCTTCCATGTTTATAAATTTGCAGTTTATTTTTATATGATAGGTGAAAAAGCTTTCTAAATTTGCTTACTTTGGTTTATCATGAGATTATATTTCTTCATGTGGTTACATTTCACAGACAATTTGCGGCTTTTTCTCTGTCTTCTGCTGGGCGTGTTCCTCATCACTGCTTTGTAAATGCTATTTTTACAGAGGGGCGAAATCTTCCATCTGTCACGCGCATCACCCATCCTCTTACCAATTTGTCCTTTGCCTTTTGATTCTGTGCATAAGTGATTTAATAGTTTTAAATTTCTGTATAAATAGGCTATTCATCTTCTTACTTTTGCTTTTGAATTTTTTCATTAAAATATTTCCTAGCTCAAGAATATATTAGAATATAGAGATTTTCCACCTAGATTATCTTTTAACAATTCATAGACATATTTTATCTTTACATTTAAATCCTGACTACAACTGAGATTATGTAATTGCTTTAAAAGACAAGTCCAATTTTATTTTTTCTTCAATTTTTAAATATATTTCACTATTTTATTAATATCTATCTTCAAAAATTTTTTCACATTGGTCTAATTTTCCTAGTGTTTCTTGGCTACTCTCAGAAATGAATTTTAAATGAAAATTATCATCAGTTATTCATATGCCAACTTCAGTCCTGTTAGAATTTTGTTTAGTACTGTAATGAATTTATAAGTTAATTTATGGTGAATTCATATCTTTAAAAGATACTGAGTCTTCCAAGGCAGACATGGTGTCCCTCTCTGCTTATTCAAGTCTTCTTTTATTTCCTTTAGCAAAGTTTGTTGTTGTTTTAAGTAAAGTCACATGGATTATTGTTGAACTATGAGAAATGTATTAGTTTTATACATTTACTATACAACTGGGCATCTTTGAAGATTTATTTCATAGTTTCAACAGTTTCTTTCAGTCTTTATGAAACAGGGTCTCACTATGCACATCAGGCTGGCCTTGAACTCACTGTGTAGCCCAGGCTGGCCTCAAACTCAGTGATCCTCCTGCCTCAACCTCCCAAGTGCTGGGATTACAGGTGTGAGCCACCACACCTGGCTTCAATAATTTCTTAGTTTATCTTAAATTGCTTAGGCACACAATGATAAAAAATAGAAACTTATTTCCTGCTTAATATTTTTTCTGCCTTGTTGCACTGGCTGATAGTTGAAAAACAGCATCATTATAGTAAGATATCGTGTCATGTTTAAAGTCTGTAGAGTATATGGATTATATATAATGTTCATGTGTTTTACTCATAAATTATATCATTTTATTTATAAATAGATCACACATTTATTTATGAAGTATAAGAATTATATAAAGTTCATATATAATATACTATGTTATATGAAACAAATAATATATCTTATTACATACAAAATATAGCAGATAAAAATGCTTATAAATAAAATTATGTGTATGTTATATAAAGCACATATAGTCTGTGTAGGTACAATAAATGGTATCTTGATAATATAATTAATAATTATGGGTGAATTACATAGTAGAATATGATTGCTACTGGTATGTTGGCAGTGCTTCAAAAGTGGTGCCATATGTTGTGTCAGTTTCATGTTTTGTCACAGTGCTATGTTACATTGATGATAGTATATTTTCATTTTCCCTGTTACATGGGTATATCTGTAGTCATTGCCTCTATGACATTCGCTTTGGCATTAGATAGGTACTCTCAAGAGCAACTTTTCTATTCCTGTTCTACTAAAAGTAATTTACAAGATGGATGCTGAGTTTTTAAAGTGCTTCCAAATTGTGTGAAAAGTTGATGGCATGGATTTTCTTTATCAGTCTAGTCACATGGTGTTGCTGCCTAATCATCCTCAATTTTCTGGGAATAATATTTTATGGTTTTTTTAGGAATTGCTATTTCTTTATTTGGGATTTTTGCATCTGTTCTGTTATTAGTTGAAATAACACTAGCTGCGAAACAAACCACAAAACTTTAGCATCTTAATAGAAGAAGTTTATTTCTTGCCCCTACACAGTTCAGGGTTTTCGTCTATGACAAGTCCTCCATAGTAGGCTCCTACTGTCCACTGTACCCTGCAGCATGGTGGCACTTTTTCTTAAAGGACCAGATAGTAAATGGTCTAGGTTCTGTCTCTCACAGCTGCTCAGCTCTGCCACTGTACAGTGGAAGTAACCATAGCAATGAACAAACAAATGGGCATGGCTGTGTTCCAATAAAACTTTATTTACAAAAATATGCCCTGGGCCCATGGCTCATCACCTGCCTGCCCTAGAACCTTGCAATCCTCTGAATAGAGCCAGTGAAGGAGCAAACAAAGATGAGAGCACCCCACGGTCTTATTTAAACAGCCTCGGCCTGAGAATGAACACAGTGCTTCTGCTCAAATTCCATCGTGAGAATAGAACGTAGGGCTCAGACGTTACCCTGCTGAGCAGCCGTTTCTCCTCTATATTGCAGAAGTAGCAGCATAAATTTCGATATACAGCTAGTCCTGTCACAATCGTCATAAATAATTCCAGTCTATGTTCTTACATTTCTCAGGTTTAAATGGCAAGTTACATTGATTCTCCTTCCCTTGTGGTAGGGTCATGCTTCAATAAACCCATCCTAAGCTGAAAATACGCTTAAGTTGAAAATGCATTTCTTAGACCTAGCCTGGCAAATATCTTAGCTCAGCAACCCTGCACTGTACTGCACTGCACTGTATAATGTTGTCCTTTCCCTCACGGCCCTGCGGCTCACTGAGGGGTGGCTTGCTGTTGCTGTCCACCCCACAAGAAACTATCATACCGTGTGTCACTAGCTTGCAAAAGAATCAAAATTCAAAATTTGAAGTAGTTTTTCTGCATGCCTGATGCTTTTGCCTCATTGTAAAGAAAAAGTCATAAGCTGAACCATCATAATTCAAGGAAAATCTGTCCATACATGTTTCACAAAATAATTTAAAGCTACCTTTTTGTATTTGTTCATGTGCTGGAAACATTTCAGTATGACTTCAATGACCCATTGCTGCAAAACTTTGCTTAGTAACACTGCAGGGGCCCATTGCTTACTGAGGAGTACTTCTTTGACCTTCTTTCTTGGTTTTGTTCATAGTTATTTGTGTGTTCAAATTTTCACCCTAAGTTAATTAACACACTTTACTTATTTTAGGAGTTCTTCTCTTCCTAAATTTCAAGGTTAATTGGCCTCAAGTAGTACGCAGTATTGGCTTCCAATGGTTCTCAGTGTCCCTAAATCTGGGGTAGATTTAATTTTTTGGTTCTAATTCTGAATATTTGTATGTTCTCTTTCTTCTGCCCTTTCTTTTCCTTATGCTACCTAGAAGTCTTCCTAGATGATTTTCACAAGGGAGAAATTCATGACTTTATTTATAAATTGTATCGATTTTGTATCTTTTCTTAATTCAATTTTGCATGCAGTCCAGGTTGTTGAGCAGAATTTGCACAAGGAGAGCTGAAGGTCAAGAATAAGGAATCTGGCTGCAAGTGCCAGGCAAAGAATAGAAGGGGCAGGAATGGCTAAAAAGTATCCACCCTTTAAGGGGAGGAGGCAGATGGTATAAGCAGGGGCCCTGTGGATGGATGTGGAGAGCAAGCAAAGGACATTTAAGAAAAATTCATGCACAGGATGTGATGCTGCCTGAAGGCAGGAAAATTGGGAAATTTTTTGTTATTTATTTTTGTCTGTTTCTTTAGCACTGGGGAACCCAGGTCTCCTGCATGCTATGCAAGTGCTGTGCCCCTGAGCTGCACCCCAGGCTCCAGCCAGAACTTAGAAATACATCCACCTGATTTTTGAACCTGAACTTTGTGAATAATGACCATAGAAAACTCAATTCTTCTCACTGT